CTGCCGGGACGTGGGCACGCACCCATGTCTCTGGAGTGTTTTCCGAGTCACTGGGTCTGGGACTCGAACCAAACCCTGCAGTTGGTTTTGTCCCTAAATTTTAGATTTTTGCCACGAGGTGCTTGTACTCACCAGGCAGAGAGGGAAAGTGAGAAATCAACCGAGGCGGATGGCCACACAATCCCCTCATTCTTTCGGGATTTTGGGCACACGCACACATACACGCCCACCCGGTGTGACTTCTGAACCACCAGGGGTCTGGGACTGAAGCCACGAGCAGCCACCATGCCACCTGCTGGCACCCCACGGGCACCGTCACTGGGCCTTTATGCTGTAGAAATGTCCCTCCCGGAGACGCCACATGCCTTGGGTCTGGGGCCGCACATGACCAGCCAGATGCTTCTGAACCATCTTATTTATTTAAATATGAAAGAACATGTCGCTTCTTCCCAGTTCATCTGAAAGGCATCCCGTGTAAATGTAAGAAAAGTCCCAGAGGCACACGGGGGCGTCAGCAGGAGCTGGAGGGGAGCAGCTGGGTTTCCCGGAGCCTGGCTTCAGGGAAGCTGCCGCCCCCTCGGTGCCCACCCTCCTCGCGCCCCCCGCCCCCGAGGGCAGAGAAGCACGGCAAGGAGGGGTGAGGAAGGTGCACGAGCCAGGCCCCGCGGACCCTCCGGCCCTGGTCAGGGCAGAAAGCCCCGGGTCCCACCTAGAACATCCGTGGTGAGCCAGCCCTGGCAGGGCCCGGGTCCTGCAGCGGAGGTGGGGACGGCGGCCCATCACAGCTCGGTGCGGGATGCCTTGGCCACGACCACCAGCTTCGACAGCTCAGCCTTGAATGCCCCGGGCCTGTGGGCCACTGTGAGGAAGGAGCACAGTCAGGCCCTGGCGCCCACACCCTGGGGGTCAGGTGGGTGGGCAGGGAGGGGTGCCCGCGGGGGCTCCCCTCGTGGGAAGGCCCCAGGCACCGAGTCTTCCGAGCGACGGACAGAGAGGCGGGTGGCGGGCAGACAGCCCGGTGCCACACTGAGGGCAAGGGTCACCCTGGTGAGCCTGTCGGAGCGCAGGTGACGCTTCCAGCAGGTCAGGGGCTCTGGGTGCCTCTGCTGCCCCCCTACGCCCTCCCTGCTCACCCCTCTGCGGGTTCACAGCGCCCAGTGCTGCCGGGTGACCTCGCCCAGCCTCCCCTGGTACTCCACAGTCCCAATCCCGATGCCGCCCCGGCCAGAGACCAGCCGTGCAGGGGCTTCACAGACCCTCCCCATCTACGGGGCTCACCCGACGGCCCTTAGGGACACCCGGCTCGGCCGAGTATGAATTTACACGTGCTCGGACCTGTCCGGGTGGGTAGTACACCGTGACCACCACCGGCTTTTCCCAGCCCGCGCACTGGGGCGGCGCTGGCGTTGTGGACAGCCCTCGGTGACGCGGGCGAGGGGTCTGAAGTCCTGCTATGACTCGGCTTTATGGGTGCAGGGCGACCACGGCCCCGCAGAGGGGCTGCACGGAGACCGCAGCTGGTGGGCGCCTGTCCTCTAGGCCATCTGCTGGGGCCGCCTCCTCTCCCTGGCCACCTCCCCGGCCCTGCCCCACGCTCTGCGTACCTGCCGTTTTGGTCACTTCAAACTCCTCGTCCTTCAGTGGGACGTCGCTTTCCCTTTCAAATGCGGCTTTGGACTGAAAGAGAACCAGCAGAGAGGGGTGGCGGTGGGGGGCACTCAGTTCTGGCCGGGCGGGCTGGTGGCCAGGCAGGACAAGGCCTGGGTCTGTGTCTTGGGCCCTGCTGCACGCCGGGCACGTGTGTGCCCGCGACCCAGGGGAGCCTGGGCCCTGCTGCACGCTGGGCATGTGTGTGCCCGCGACCCAGGGGAGCCTGGGCCCTGCTGCACGCCGGGCACGTGTGTGCCCATGACCCAGGGGAGCCTGGGCGCGCTGTGGGCACATGTGCCCCCGCCACCTCCAGGCTGGGGTTTGCCCGCGGGGTACTCACGTAGGCCATGCCGTACTCGATCTCGGCGCCCCGCACCTCAGCCTTGAACTGCGTGAAGTACAGGTAAGACTTGCCCTGGGGCCTGTGAAGGGAGCGGGCAGGCGGAGGGGCTCAGGCCGGGCTGGGGGCCGGGTCTGCCCCTCCGGAAACACGCAGCCTGGACTCGCCAGGCCCAGGACAGACAGCGGCGCCCTCAAGACCATGCCTGTCCCTCTGCCGGAAGCTTCTTCCAGCTCGCTTATTTACGGGTTCATTTATTTATTTATGCCAGAGGGAGAGGGAGAGGGAGCCACTCCTGGGGCCTGGTCGTGCCGCAGTCCTTTCCCATCGATCCCCCTTAGCACTGGGACCCGGGGCACGTGCCTGCCCAGTGTGTTTTTCAAGCCCCCGGGGCTGGGACCCAAACTCTGGCGGCCATGCAGGATCTGGCCTCTGCACAGCGCCGAATGCAGCACTGGGGTGGCCACTCAAGCCCGTCTCCTGTCAGGCCCCAGCGGCCCGGTCAAGTCTGCAGGGGGAAGGCACAGGGGTTAACCAGGCAGGGGAGGGTGTGGGCCCGGGAGGCGGTGTTTATGGGCAGCGTGGCCAGGGCACGGAGGACCCAAGGGGAAGACCGGAGGGCGGAAGGTGCCGGAAATTGGCTGCAGTGGGAGCGGCCTGGGACGGACACTAGGGACGAAAGGGTGCCCACAGGACCCATCTGTGGGAGCCCCCGGGAGCGCGTGTGCCTGGCTGGGAGGGAGGCAACTAGAGAACCTGGTGGCTGCCCCCAAACGGGTACGCGAGGGGCCGGCCAGCATCTGAAACC